TCTATAAAATTGACTTACAGGTAAACTTTTACTTCCCTTATTTGTGACTTTGGGTTCTTGTCTCCAAGGATGTTTATATTCATTAAGTGACACCACAGTTGCACCACTGAATTGGAATACATGACCAATTGTTAGGCTTCTTCTGCTGAAGGATAAACGAGGAAAAGGAGAATTGTGATTTTGTATGGGGAAAATTGAGCCTTGTTGTTAAAGGTAAACAGGGCTTCTAGAATGCAGTGAGAGCAAGGAGGAGTCAGTAAGAATCTAGAGTCTAGTCACTGCCATGTTCAAGTGGAAAATACAATGTGAGAGCACTTTACCCCTCTCTGTGCTGACTGACAACGGCTCAGAATCCTCAGGAAGGAAGGTTGAGGTCACACTAAGTGAAGAGATGCTTGCTGAAGGCAGAGGGAACATGGAATATGCAATAAAGAAAGAAGATAATAAATTCAAGCTGTTATAACTTCAATACGCAGTGTTATAGTGCCCAGGAGAAAGATAAGCATAGTTTACTTACTAATCTGAGGTAAAAAGTGTTCAATCCCTCCACCCCCACATTAAAGATTCTGCTTCTAGAAGATGACCGGCATCACATTCTCTCTGTCAAGTTAACAGTTTCCTCTCAAAGTTGTAATCCCTGGCAGGCATGACATATATAGTGACAAACTGCTCACTACAGATTAGTGAGGAAACTCATGCTTACCAATTGCTTAATAGAGACGAGGCTTAGTGGTAAAGAATTATGCTGTCAATTCAAAAGTATGCAGTTCGAAGCCCACCAGCTGCTACTATGAGGAAGATGGCCGTTCTCCTCCTGTGCAACTGAATACTTCTGAAAACCTGCTGGAGGGTCAGTTCTCACTCAGTAGTACCCCAAACAACCTTGCAAACTGGGTGATCCAGTCCTGCCCATCTCTGCTTCTCCAAATTTTATTTTGTATACACTTATATTTTAATGGTAAGATTAAAAAAATGTTTCCTTATTTCCAACTTGACAGCACATACACCACTTTCTCTTTTCTCTTCCCTCTTTCTCCTGCACTTGGTGTGTGCTGGTGTTTAACTTTTAAATTAGATTAAGTTGCTGTGTATCAGGAAGGAATTGGAGCAGAAACGGAAAGTGAGTCGAGCTCAGCTGACGGATGCCTAAGTCAGTGATGCAATGTTCAGTGAGTGGGTTATGGTCCTTGAAGACAAGCTAGCTGTGCTTTTTGCTGGCTGAGGGATTGTTACATTTTAAGTTTGGTGGAAGCATTAATTTTTGCTCTGGAAAGATAAATAGAATGAAGAAAGTTTTAAAGAGTGAAAGAGGTGGATTATATTAGACAGAAATCCTGTGGACTGTTAAGAGAACAAACAGGTTCATCCTGGAGAGGGTGAAACCAGACTGCTCTTTGGAGACAAGGATTCTGGAGCTCCTTTTGACATTCTTTGGTATGTTGCAAGGAGGGACCGATGCTTGGAGAGGGACGTCATGCTTGGGAAGGTGGAGTGACGGCACAGGAAGGGAAGACCCTCGCTAAGATAGATGGACTCAGTGACTGGAGTAATGGGAGTAGGTGTGTTGGAGACAGTGAGGTTGATTCAGAACAGAGCAGGGTTCAGAGCTGTCGTACATGAGGTTGCTATGAGTTGCAAGCAACTCAATGACACATAACAACAATAACGATATCTAATTTGTAAAAATTTCTGGCACAAAAATATCCTTCCTACCTTGTTAGAGTGGTTTGGATCTGTGAAAAAGAGACTTTCAACAAGATGGGTTTACACAGTTGCTGCAGCAATGGTCTCAAACATAGCAGAGGTTGTATCATGCACAATTGGACAGTTTTCCATACTGTATATGAATATTGGGTTGCTATAGGGCAGAGCTAGCTTGATAGCAACTAAAACACCTTGGAAGAATTCAAAGTGTAGGTGAGGCAAATCCCTCCACCCATCAACAAAGCCAAAAGGGGCAGAGTGACCCTTCTCACTTCCTGGCAGCAGGCCAAGCAATAAGGGGTTGCCATCTGAACACTTCTACTAGAGACGTTGAGTTACAAGAGGATGACACAAAATGCAGACCACGCTGGGAGCTATTGGAATAGTAGTATTAGCAACCTACCTGCGTGTTACTGCGTGATTTTAACCATGTTTCCAGGTACACAGTTGTCCTTGGTTGCATTTTCTTCACCCATTTCTTAAATTTTCTATTTCATTAGCAATCTTTTCTATAAATTCCTTTCCTGCTTAATAAGTTATTGGTTTTTTAGTGTTCATAACCAAGAATGGAAACTGGCAAAATAACAATAGTAAACTATGTTTGTTGTTTGTTATTTAGAGTCTTTCTATTTTTAATAGAAATAATGCTACAATTAATTATCCAGAAGATATTTTTTTACATTTAAATTCTTTTCATAACCTATAGACTCTATAGTGAATCTTAGCATAGATCTTGCTACATATTGTCAAAGTATTTTGCAATGTATTTTAAAACATCCAAGAGCACACACTTCCCTCGTGTCCAATCTGACTCATACCCTTCATCAAGTTGCAGAGACTGTAAATCCTTTTCTCCGAGCTGTGGCTGGTGGGTTTGAACAATTGATTTTTTTGGTTAGTAGCCCCACACTCCAAAGTACTTCACAATGCACTTTGCAGATTTAATAGTAAAAAAAATGCCTGAGGAGAAAGGAAATGCTTTTGGCTAGATCACATCTTTAAGAACAGACACAGCAAGTAATAGGAGTCAGCTGACCTTACTGAGAAACTGAGCTTTTAATAATTGTCCATTTTAGATAACTGAAGCTTATAAGTTTAATCAACCAAGTTTTAAGTGCACAACTGAGTTTAATTGCCATCTCTGTAAAGTACATTCCATGCTTCCTAGTCTTCCCAAGGAGTCTTTGGATAGCGCAAATGATTAAATGCTCAACCATCAATGGAAACATTGGTGGTTCAAAACCTACCAGAGATATCTCAGGTGACTGGCCTGACAATCAGCTTCTGGAAGGTCACAGGCTGGAAAACCCAGGGAATGTGGTTGACCTTGCATTATTATGTGGGATTGTTAAGATGTGGGATCAGTTTGACAGTAGTAAACAGCTTGGTTTTAACCTTATCACGTTGCAGTACATCAAGGGCTGTTGAATGGGTCAGGCATGTCTTTCCCTTAATTCCTTCATTGTGTTTTCCTGATCATAGGATATTTTTCTCTTTCCAGAACTTCCCAGCAGTTGGTCTTCCCAGTCAGCTAAGAGAAGCTCTTTCCTCTTTAGTTCTTCTCACACCTCTGAAAAGACAAGACAATTGAATGTTGCTGTTTGCTCAACTGTGTCGGACATGGTGAAGATGGCCCAGGATAGGGCAAGATTCAGAACCATGGTTCATAGTGTTAGTCATAATGTGGCTATGAGTCTAGTAGACTGTGTGCCACATAAGAACGACCACAACATTGGAAAAACATAACCCAGTGTGTAACACGGGGTCTGTCATTGTACAAAACTTAAGCCACATCCAGATAGGAAAGCTGGAGTATGGTTCCCCCATACACTCTGGTGTAAAGTACTTAGACTGTGGCACTTACATTTTTCAACTTTACAGGCTGTTTTGTTTCACCATTGGTGAAGTTTTCCAGAAGTTTCAGTACTGGATATGTGGGAATTACAAAAACAAATGATAAGGGGGGAAAAAACAAACTGAAAAATAAAAAAATCCCAAATGATAAGCGAAATGTCTATAGCTATTATCCCTGTAGAAACATTTTATTCTGTATTGCAAAATATTCAGGGGAATAGATTCTGAAATGTAAAACAAAAAAATTCTTTCTACATTTTAAGACACTATATGTATGTATTCCTAAGGCTTCGTTGTTGAAAATTTTAAATACATTAGTCCTTCGTAGTAACAGCTCCAGCTGCTTCCCCTTTAATACAATCACTGTTGATGTCTGTTACTTGTTATTTTAAAATGTGGGACGTATCTTTCACAGTAATAATCCCTTAAAATAATCCCTGTGAGGAATGGCTTTCAGAAAAGGAACAATGAACTCTATTCTGTATTCTTTATGCCACATGAGTTAATGTAAAATTATAGACCCATTTTCAAATGAGACAATCTGGGCCTTTATACTAAACAATAAGAAATGATTGTTAGTTTTAAAATAAGTAGCAGATTCTACAGAAAAAAACAAATGCCTACAGACAATTTATGAGAAGTAGCTCAATATTCTCTTTAAAATATTGTCCCAGTGCTATTTGGAGAAGACAGAATCCTATGATTGAGGAAATAAGTGAGAAAAGAAAAATGGAGGTAAAAATAAGTTACATTTTGAATCACATGAACTTTATTAATGTTAGAGTAATATATTACAAATAAAAGCAAATACCAATAAAAAAATTTTAAAAGGAAAATATATTCCTGCTACCCATATTTAATCCATTCTAGTTTTAGAGACAAGTCCATGGGAGAAGGGAGAATGTAACAGTTAACACACTTGACTGCTAAGCAAAAGGTTGGAAGTTCAAGTTCACCCTCTGTAGAATGGTCTAGTCATTTATTTCTGAGAAATAAGCCACTGAAACCGTATGGAGCACAATTCTATTTGAACACACACAGGGCCACCATGAGGGAGAATTGACTCAATGGCTACTGGTAGGCTAAGAGACATTTAAAAGCTTAAGTCCATTTGATGGCAATGGATATTAGAAAACATATAATACTTATTTAAACTTATACTTGCCATATGTAATAAATTATTTTTTAACTTATGAAAAGACATGGAAGGCGAAGGATTTCTGAAACCAGAGTCAATCTTTCCCCATCTCACTTCTATTACGTAGGAGGTGGCGTTTATCTGGCTTCCCTTCTACCCACCAGTCTCCCTAAATGGCTCTGCAAAGAGCTTGATGCATGAAAGGCCGAAGCGGGCAGCGATCCACTCCCAAGGGCAGTCGTCCCTGTGTGTGTGCTCCTCAGAAGCTGGAAGCCAGGGCCCAGGCCTCGTGCTTTAACCCCGCCTAGCTGTAGCAGGAAGCATATTTATTTCCTTCCTCGACAATTTCATTTTTAATTGCAATTACTCGATCTTCCAAATGTCTCAGTTGATCAGCTTTTTCTTGTTTACTTTGGTTCAAATCGTGAATCTTCTTTTCTAAATCTGAAAGAAGAGTGGAAGAAATGTTGTATTTCATATTTAAGAGATTCCCGAGTTGTACTACCACAAGGGTTTGTATGTCATATGTATTTATCATTGATTTGATCACTACAACTTAACAACTGTAGATTTCCCATTTTTGCTTTATTATCAAGCTGCTTTGAAGGAAATAGCAAAAAATAAGGCCCCAGGAATAGATGGTATGCCAATTGAAGTATTTCAGATAACAGATGTTGCCCTGGATATGCTCACCAAGTTGTGCCAAGAAATCTGGAGAACAACCACTTGGCCAACTGACTGGAAGAGATCTATATTTGTTCCCATTCCAAAGAAAGGTGACCCAACTGAGTGTGGAAACTACAGAACAGTGTCATTGATTTCACATGCAAGCAAGATTCTACTGAAGATCATCCAAAAACGATTAGAACAGCACATCAGCAGAGAACTTCCGGAAGTCCAGGCTGGGTTTAGAAGGGGTCATGGTACTAGGGATATTGTTGCTGATGTTAGATGGATCTTGGCTGAAAGCAGAGAATACCAGAAGAATGTCTATCTGTGTTTCATTGATTATGCAAAGGCATTTGACTGTGTGGATCATAACAAACTGTGGCTGACTCTGAGAAGACTGGGAATCCCAGAACATTTAATTGTGCTAATACGAAACCTATACTTGGACCAAGAGGCAGTAGTCAGAACAGAGCAGGGTAACACTGCATGGTTCAAAATTGGGAAGGGTGTACGCGAGGGATGCATCCTGTCTCCATACCTTTTCAACATGTATGCAGAGCAGATTATCCGAGAGGCTGGGCTCTATGAGGAGAAGTGTGGCATCAGGATTGGTGGACGATCTATTAACAATCTCCGTTATGCAGATGACACAACCCTGCTTGCTGAAACTGAGGAGGACCTCATGCACTTGCTGTGAAGGGTCAAGGACTGCAGCCTTCAGTATGGACTAAGGCTCAATGTCAAGAAGACAAAGATTCTCGCCACTGGACCAATTGGCAGCGTCAGGATGGATGACGAAGAGATTGAGAGTGTTCACAGCTTCACTTTGCTCGGCTCCACAGTCAACACTCTTGGTACCAGCAGTCAGGAAATCAAAAAGCGTATCACGATGGGAAAGTCTGCTGTTAGGGACCTCTCTAAGGTACTCAGGAGCAACAGTGTCTCTCTGGAGACTAAGGTGTGCCTGATACAGGCCATGGTATTTGCAATCGCTTGTTATGCATCAGAGAGTTGGAGGACAGAAGTAGAGTGGGTGCTTTTGAGCTGTGGTGCTGGAGAAGGGTACTGAATGTACCAGGGACTGCCAGGAAAACAAATAGATTCATCTTGGAGAGGATTAAACCAAGCTACTCCTTGGAGGCAAGGATTCTGGGGCTTCGTCTGACATACTTTGGACATGTTGCCAGGAGGGACGGGTCCTTGGAGAGGGACATCATGCTTGGGAGGGTGGAGGGACAGCGCAGGAGGGGAAGACCCTCTATGAGATTCGGTGACTGGGGTAATCGGGATGGGTGTGTCAGAGGCGGTGTGGTTGGCGCAGGATAGAGCAGGGTTTAGGGCTGTTGTGCATAGGGTCGCTATGAGTCAGAAAGGACTCGACGGCACATAACAACAACCACAACCATTTTTGCTTCTCTCCTACCCCTTCCTGCCTTCTGAGTTTAACCCCTAGGTGCATATTGTCCATTTGAGCTCATATGTTGTTCATTTGGCCTCATATGGTTGATTAGTCTAAGGTGTATGTACCTCCCTGCTATTATTGTTCATTTTGGGGGCTTGTCTATTGTTTGGCTGAAAGTTGAGCCATGGGAGTGAGTGAGTACTAGATTTAAAGGACGTGTCTCAGTATTCTAGCCTGTAGTTCCACTAATCTCTTTTCAGACCAAGTAAAACTAATTTTAGGGAGGTCTGGTGGTCTTGCAGTAAAACACTGTACTGCAGTCCTGAAGGCACATAGTTTGAATCCACCAGCAACTCCACCGGAGAAGGATGGACAATCTCCTCTCATGAGATTGATTAACAGCCTCTGAAAACCTGTTGGAAGGTCAGCTATGGGTCGGTTCTGACTCAACAACAATCAACAATAAGCCCAATTTGGGGTTTTTTAATGATTTGAATTTGTTCCACATTATTCTCTCACTCTATCCAGTTACACCTCTTATGACATCTTCCAGAGTAATCAGTAAGGTAATTCTGTTGTCAAGATCCTTGAAGCTGAGGCTGTGGGATCCATTTGCCTTTTGGGTAATTGTTTCCTTAAGCCTTTGATTTTCTTTATTCTTCTTTGCTTCTGATAAGAAGAAAGCAACAGCTGTACTTTAGATGGCCTCTCAAAAGCTTTTAAGACTCCAATTAACTGAAGCATACAGTTATTTTTGTGGTTTGGTTCAACAGATAACATTAATTTTCACTGGCTTTATTTAAGGTTTGCCCAGAAATCAGAGCAGGCAAATTGATGTGTTTGCCTAGAACTGTTCCAGATATAAATGCATTTCTCAACGTGAGTCAGTTGTTAGAATTGATTAGAAATAAAAAAACAGATGATGCATTTTGACTGGTTTCAGTGAAATGCTGTATTTCCAAAGGTTCAGTCTTTACTCTTTTTTTTTTCATGCTTCTCTGAGTATTTATTTAGAATCATAAGATAATAACAGTCTTTACTCTTTTAACTTCACTTTTTAACATATGTCCATCACTTTAGAGTTTCTCTTCCTTGCTATAAAAAGATTGATGTTTTCATGTCTTTAATCTCTGCGGATATTGAAGTCTCTCAACAGTGAAAGCGAAGTGATGCTTTTCTTGCCTTCATTCTTATCTGTCAATCTGTCCATTCCATACCTTCACCCATCCATGCATTTATTTACCCATTCTTCTTACCACAGATATATGGGAATGCTAGTTAACCTCAGCAAGAGGCCATAGAGTAAAGGACAGAAGAGGCAGAGAGAGCTGTAAGTAATAGCATGAAGTTGGTTTTAGAAAATATCTCTAGTTTTGGGCTGTGTGACAAAGGTAGAAAAAGGAATGTTCCAGTTTCCTTGGTCAGGTCACACCGGAGCACTGAGTTTGCTTTAAAAGAATAGCCCATTTGGCATGTGTTTAGAGGAAAGAACCACACTGCTAGAGAGAAAGGAAAAAAAAATTGAGAACCTTTCTTGTGAACAAATGTTGAATTAACAGGCGATGTTTCAGATCTAGAAAAGAAGATTCTGGGCATGCACCACAGATATTTGCAAGTACCTGAAGGGCAATCATAGGAAAGCAGAATAGAAATGTTCTCTGTCATCCTGAGAAAATAGAACAAAAAGCAGCAGGTGAAAGCTACATAAAGGAAGATTTCTGTCTGAATATAAAGAAGAGCTTTCTAACAGTTATAACTGTCCAAGGACTGAGTAGAAGGTGGCGAGAGTTCTGTCACTAGAAACTTGCAAATAAATGTAGGTTATTTGGAATGAAAAAGGTGATTCAGCATTAGAAGGCTTTTTTGTTTTGTTTTGGTTTTAACTGACCCATATGATGCTTCTATCAGGTAAGTTCACATCACTGTGCTGGTCATGTTTCATTTGCTCCACCAGGTCAAATTTTCATTGTTTTGTATCTTGGCAAGTCGACCATGGTACCTTCTGGGTTCCCTTGCCCTAACATTAGTCCAGTGGGTAGTGCTGGCAAGTGTCCATGCTGGTTTTGGCATTGTTTATCTACTCCAGTCTGGCCTTCTTTCTAACACTGGAATTTTCACACTTATCTGGCAACACCTCTTCTTCTCCTGATTCCTTCTGTCCTAGGGATGCTAAATGTCTTCTCTGGGCTGCTGGTCATCTGCGACTCAATATCCCTCACTATTTGCCTTACTCTGCAGGTAGGTTGAACTGAACATGGTCATTGTTGTTGTTGTTGTTACGTGCTGTCGAGTCGTTTGGTACTCATAGCAACCCTATGCACAACAGCCCTAAACCCTGCTCTATCCTGTGCCAATCTCATTGCCCCTGAAACACCCATCCTGATTACCCCAGTCACTGAATCAATCCACCTCATAGAGGGTCTTCCCCTCCTGCGCTGTCCCTCTACTCTACCTAGCATGATGTCTCTCTCTAAAGACCTGTCTCTCCTTACAACATGTCCAAAGTATGTCAGACGAAGCCCCAGAATCCTTGCCTCCAAGGAGCAGCCTGGTTTAACCCCAGCATGAATTTGTTTGTTTTCTTGGCAGTCCATGGTACATTCAACACTCTTCTCCAGCACCACAGCTCAAAGGCACCAATTCTCCTTCTATCCTCCCTAGTCATTGTTCAACTCTCTGATGCATAACAAGTGATTGCAAAGACCATGGCCTGTATCAGGTGTACCTTAGTCTCCAGAGAGACACCCTTGCTCTTGAGTACTTTAGAGAGGTCCCTAACTGCAGACTTCCCCATCGCAATACATTTTTTGATTTCCTGGCTGCTGGTGCCAAGAGTTTTGACCGTGGAGCCGAGCAAACTGAAGCTGTGAACAATCTTAATCTCTTCACCATCCATCCTGATGTTACCGATTGGTCCAGCGGTGAGAATTTTTGTCTTCTTGACATTGAGCTTCAGTCCATACTGAAGAATGCAGTCCTTGACCCTCTACAGCAAGTGCATGAAGTCCTCCTCAGTTTCAGCAAGCAGGGTTGTGTCATCTGCATAATGCAGATTGTTGATAGATCGTCCACCAATCCTGATGCCACACTTCTCCTCATAGAGCCCAGCCTCTCAGATAATCTGGTCTGCATACAGGTTGAAAAGGTATGGAGATAAGGACACATCCCTGGCATACACCCTTCCCAATTTTGAACCATGCAGTGCTGCCCTGCTCTGTTCTGACGACTGCCTCTTGGTCCAAGTATAGGTTTCGCATTAGCACGATTAAATGTTCTGGGATTCCCATTCTTCTCAGAGTCAGCCACAGTTTGTTATGATCCACACAGTCAAATGCCTTTGCATAATCAATGAAACACAGATAGACATTCTTCTGGTATTCTCTGCTTTCAGCTAAGATCCATCTAACATCAGCTACATGGTCATACATTGTTTGAATTCTTCCCATGAAAAGGTAGTGTCTATTTTTTATTCTTTTTTCCTACACCTGGGCACCTTTGCAATTTGCTTTGACCAAAAGAAAGCAGTAGCAGTGTTGTTGAATCACAGGAGGTCTTGCAGCCTCTGCACGTCTCCTTATGGGATAGATTGTGGGGAAAGGAGGCCAGGAACTGAACTCATTTCCACCTATCTAACCTGCCAGCATCCATTCACTTGGGTAACCCAGTTGAGATCTGTAGAGAACTTTCTAGGTGACCCACAGAATCGCAAAAACGCTGTAGTTCTAAGACTACAAAATTTTATTTAAGAATACTATTAAATTTTGGAGTGTTTGTTATGGAGTGAACAGATACCTGAGACATCAGTGGTTATAAATATGCATTTTTATGTCCACTTGTGTATTTGTTCTATTTCATGCGACCCTGATTGACTTGAGAGAGCCCTGGCTATAAATTGAGCCCCATTCTTCATGTTCTATTTGCTTTTCTATTTTGTTGAATTGTGAAAATACCCTTCAAGGATGGTGGAGGGGAATGAATGCATTACTATTAACCGCTCTGAGAAGTCCCTTAGTCTTCCAACCTAATCACAAAAGCTAGAGATGTTTTTTCAATGCAGATAAGGGAAACAACGTGGACCCTGATGTGAAACAGATGACTGAAATATTTTCCCCACGTGTCTGTTCTGGAGTAAGGTCCAAGGACTGAAATGAGAAACTGATTGTCATGAGGCAGCTATGGAACACAAGTTAAAAGATGTTCTGTCTTGCTGAAACTTTCCAGACATTTTCTTTTTTAAAAAAATTATTAGAAAGCACTTGAAAAGGAAAAGAAATATCACCCATGAAACCACAACTTTACAAATAAATTAAAATAAAATGGAGGCTTTCTCCTTTGTACTCTTTTCTGAAGAGATCACACCTGGGTTTGGTATGCCTGTTTCCTGACCTTGGCCTACACGAATGCTGAATTTTCATATCTGTCATGTCATAGTGATGATATAAGAGGTTGGAAGGTCAAAGACTCATTTTTGTCATAGAAGACTATTTATAAATGGACAGCTTTGATTATTTTAATATTTTGAGTGTTACTTATATTCCAAGTGAATAGAATTCATTTTAACATTTTTAGGAGACAATAAGTAAAACCAAGGGTATCTATTCATCATTTGACCAATTCTTGACGATTGAGAAGCAATTAAGGATGTGGTGGTCACCCCCCCCCCCAAATCCTGTGAATGTCAATTGTGGGGCAAAAAAAATGCTGATTACCTTTCTGATGGCATGCATTCGATGTTTACTAGGTGTTGTGTATACTACATTTCAACATTTGAACAAAAACCCTGGTTTGAAATATGGTCTCTTTTAGACTTGCTGCTGCTTTGAGGGAGAAAGATGGGCAATCTCCTCCCAAGTGAGGCGATCTCCTCTCAAGTGATTTTCCACCTCTGAAAACCTGCTGGAGGGTCAAACATGGGTCTGTTCCAACTCAACAGTTCTCAACAATAGCAACCTCAGGTTTATGCTAGATGATTCAACGCCCTTGATGCTAAGTCATAAAATCTCCAAACTATACCCACTGTCACAGACCTCATTCCCATTCACAGGAATTCTTTATTGGGTTTCCAAGACTGTAAATCTTAATGGGAAGTGACTGTACATTTTTCCTGTCATGGGAGCAACTAATGCATTTGAACTGCTGACTTTTTGGTTAGTGGCCTAGCACAGAATGCACCATGCCACCAGCCTCCATCCTAACCCCCAAAGGGTTATTTTCATGAGAGGAAAAATGTGCAGCATAGATTAGACAGGGCTTCTCAGGCTTGGCACTAATGTCATCTTGGGCTAGATAATTCTTCTTGTGGGATGCTTCTTGTCTTATGCATTCTAGGATGTTTTAACAGCATCCCTGTCCTCTGCCTAATAGATTCCAGTTTTTCTCCTCTCCTCTAACTATGACAGGCAAAAATAAATGCAGACATTGCCAAATAACCTCTGAGGTTGTTGTTATTATTGTTAAGTGCTGTCGACTCGTAGATGACTCATAGCGATCCTATAAATGAAAGACCTGAACACTTGTATAACTTTCATCCTTTTTTCCAGGTTCATAGGGTTTCCAGAGGCAAGCTATTTCGGAAGTGGATGCCACTCCTGTTTCCAAGCTTGTTTTAATCAGGGACCTCCACCAAACACCGTCCACCATGGGTAGCCGAGTAAAATTGCTCCACATTGAGAGTTCTGAGGTTAGGATTAAAGGCATTTCCTGGTGAAAAGGCACCTCAATTTGTAGCAGTAAATTCTAGGTAAAAACATGCAGAAGAGCAAAATGCACAAGCCCAGTTCCTACACCTTTATCTTCAGTTGATTCATACATGGTAAAGGTGGATCAGTGAGGAACTGGAGTTGGTCTAAATTCTACTGGGAGGTGGGGGAGCTCTGGTGGCCTAGTCCACAGGGAGTTCCGCTGCTACCCCAAAGATGGCGCTTCTCTGGCATCTGAAAACAATTACTTGTGGTTTAGGGAGCTCTGGTGGCTTGGTAGTAAGGAGTTGGGCTGCTGACCGAAAGATGCATGGTTTGAATCCACCAACTCTCCTGCATGTCGGAAATCCACCAACTCTTCTGGGAAATGAAGGCAATTTCCTTTCGTGTGTTTTATAACCTCTGAAAACCCATAGGGAGTGAGCCGTGAGTGGGCTGTGACTCACTTGTAAAGAGTTAAAAGGAGAATGGATACCTGTTATTCTTCTCAACTTGTCCTCTGTGTCTACAGCCATTTTTTCTGCCACATCTTTCAGCTGTTTAAGTTTTCCTAATGTTTTTCCTGTAGTGCTTGTCTTATGCTGAAGAAGAGCATGTTGTTTTTTCAGCTCAACAAATTCCTGTAAGAGACCAACACTCCCCATTAGGAAAAAAATTATCAAGCATGTTCACCTGAATGAATCCTCCTACTGCTATTCGAAAAGGAATACAGAATGATCACGGTCCAGTCACTACACATGAATTTCCCTTATATTTCCAATAAAGTTTTGTCCAGGTTGGAAAAACAATCCTCAGATTTAGTTGAGTAAACAAGAACACATTCTTGTTGCAAAATAACAAACATTATTCCCTGTTATGGCAACTCTTTGGAGGGGTGCCGCTAATTGTTTGCTCTACTATGTTAAGGTGAATAGAACTGATCCAGTTTAAATTTATGGCAAATCTATAGTTTGGTTGAATTGAAGAGTGGCAATGGAAGATTGAGGAAAGAGTAGGTGATGAAGAATCAGAGTCACAGGATATGTCATTTGATGGGTAAGAAGGTAAGGGAGAGACACAGTTAGACAAGAGGCAGGAAGGGAATGGAAATGCTGAGTGTGAAGACTTTCTTTCCCTTGGAATTAGAAATCTTGAGGGTCAGTCTGTGTGGTGGACAACTTAATAGATGAGTAACGGCCCAAGGCAGGAATAGGAAATGGTATGAAGAGGGATGAACAGAAGTAAATACCTCACGTTTTATCCCACAAAAACATTTTCAAACCCCGAGTCACTGGAAAATTTACCAGCACATTAAAAATTAAATACAACAGAATAAATTGTAAAAGCACCTTAACATTTTTTTCCTTTTGTTTGTTATAAAATAGGGTAAATAAAGTATTTTCTAAGAAAATGGGCTGATGGAGTCTTTCAACAAGCTAAATTAAAGGATCACTTTGCACAATGGTTTAATTAACTGACTCTGATTTCTGTTACTTGATCTCTGGCTGTTCTCTGCCATGTGACTTTCACAGACTTTTTTCCTTCATAGCTATGTAATTGAACTAGAATAAAGGGCAAATATATACAATGTAGGCAAATGCCATACATTATGGAATGGAGAAGTTTAAAAAAAATTGTTTTATGGACTCTTAGATGAGGATACAACTAAGAATACTAGGATGGGCAGGTGGGAGGAGACATTAAAAAGATTGGATATCACAGCACCACTAAGAATGCTAGGATGGGCAGGTGGGAGGAAACACATTTAAATGATTGGCTCAGAGGATTAGTGCCTTCATCAGTGATCAGCATCTACTGAAAAAGAACCTTTATGTTCAACAGCTTCCCACTGAACATATATATACTGCTTAGTCATGGATCAGTACCAGGCTGATAACACAAGAATCTAGATTAAAGGTTTGTCTAAAGGTGAGAGATTGTGCTTTGAAGAAGTGGTGCTTGTCTGTTCTTGGAGGCAGTGGTGGCATTAATGACCTTTTCTGTGCCCTCAGCCTCGCGGACGGCAGACTCAGCCTGAGCATTTGCACTGGCAGCTCGGTCTTGATTCCTTTGTAACTTGGTCCGCAGCTGGGGCAGCCTATCTTCCAGATCCGACAGCTGCTGTGCTGAGTTCAGCTCCTTCATCGACTTCTTGGCTCGGTCTTCTGCCTGTTTTTGATTTAAAGACCACAAAGGGAAAACATTTCTTTATGCAACAAGAAACAAGAAAATACATGATATGTTAACATCTCTGAAATGAAGCGGAGTATTATTTTCTTATTGAAAATAAGAAAATAGTGCCTTCTTTTTCACTTATTTTTAAAGAAGTTAGAGTAAAATATTTCAACCATGTTGTTGTTATTGTTGATTGCCTTCGAGTCAACCACAACTCATAGAGACCCTATGAACAAAAGGCTTCTTGAAGCCCCTCTACAACTATTGACATTTATCAAAGTTCATAGAGTTTCCGGAGGCATGTTATTTAGGAAGTGGATGCCACTTCTGCCATGGAAGGATCTAAAAGATAATATGGTCACTGTCTATATGCCCGAAGAGCTCTGGTGGTGTAGTGTGTTATGTGTTTCTCTGCTAACTGAAATACCAGCTATTCAAATACACCAGCTGTTCCATGGGAGAAAGTGGCAATCTCCTCCCAGAAAGATTTATAGCGTCAGAAACCCAATGCAGGGTCAGTATGATTTGGAGTAGATCCCATAGTAATGGATTCTGTTTTGGTTCGCAAAAGTCCACTAAGCAGTTTAAGAAGAAAATATTAGCAGTGAGGTAAAGCCCTCAGTGCACGATTTCTCATCCAAGGTCCTCTCTCCCTCTAACACTAACCACTCTGTTTAATCTCATACTTGACACTTTCATGTCCTTCTGAATGTTTTTCACTATATCTCTCTCATTCACTCATGACTGTGGAGTCGGAACTGACTTGTAGTTGGCCTTCCAGTGGGTTTTTGGAAGCTGTACACACGTCAAGGGGAGGCTGCCCATTTTTCACAGTTATGGTTGTCATTTACCATCAAGTTTGGTCTTATTCATAGCTGACTCTCCAGCAGGTTTTCAGAGCTAGGCAGTTAATTGTCCATCTTTCTCCCACAGAGCAGCTGATGGATTTGAGCTGCGTGTCTTTGGGTTGGCAGCACAATTCTTTACCACCAGGCCACTGGTGGGTTTGAAATGCCAGTGAAGCGCCACCTTTGTGTCAGTGGAGTAACTGCCCACATCCTGCACTACCAGAGCTTCTCATACTGCGTCGTATTCCTAACCATATATTGTGTTTTAAACATGAGAATCAACGCCTTTGAACTGTGGTGTCGCAGAAGAATATTGCACATTGACTCAACTGCTCAAAGAGCAAGCAAATCTGTCTTGTAAGAAGTGCAACTAAAGTGCTCCTTAGGATAATAGACTGTCTTACTGGCTTTGGATTTGTTATCAGGAGAGGTCAGTCTTTGGAAAAAGACACCATGCTTGGCAAAGTAGAGAGTCAGTGAAAGAGAGAAGGACCCTGCAGGCACTGGACTGCACAGTGATTGCAATGTTGGGGCGTAAACGCAGCAGAGATGGTGAGGGAGGCGCAGGGTCAGGCAGTGTTTTGTTCGGCCGTGCATAGGACTGCTGTGGGTTAAAGCCGACTCCGCAGAGCCTACTAAGAAATGTCAACATAGTAGAGACTGTGTACTGCTGCAACTTGACTTTTTAAATTCAAAGGGAGGCTGTGTGAGTCATCTAGATTCATTTGCAGAGCTCTAGCTCTTTTCATTTTTACCACTTTAAAAACACTCCATTGTTAGGATGTATAACAATTCCTTTCTCTATTCTCTAGTTGACTTGGGTCCCAAGAATAATGAACATCTTATACTTGCTGCTTCTTTCAGTGGTTGTTTTTAGCATGTGCAGTTCTCTCTGTATTTTAAAACTCTGACTAGTGCTTTGTTATTATATTTTGCCTCTCACTCTTGGGTAAATGTTGATACCTTTTCTCAACATAACTCAAATATTTGCTTATATGTTCTACACCCAATAAGTTTAAAGTCCACACTTGCTGGCATTCTGATTCCATTGATAATGGTTTCTGATGGCTCTCATTTATGGCAATTTGTTTCTTTATGTGTTTGGGAGAAATGTTTGAAGCTTGTTTTTAAGGTATTCAGGGGGTATAATTCAGGCAGAATTTGTATTTGTCAGATGTCAGGGGTATTACCTGTCTGGCGTCATTATCTGACAGGGGTACTACCAACGTAAGACCATTTTAAATGAAAAATTTGATTTGAGTTGGTTTTTATTTCTGTTTGTCTGGCCACAGATTAATGTGATTCTAACTCCAAATGTATGTGTGAGTAGGTTTGTGGTTAGGAATTCTTGGTGGAAACTCTCTCTCTTAGCAGAAACACCTTTCATTCCTCTCTCTCTGCCAATCTCTCTCTCTCAAGCACATCTCTCTTTCTGTTTGTATATTGCCTGGGTGTGTGCATTTTGTTGAGATTTCTCCCTTTTAGCTTTCCAGCTCCACGTAGGGGTCTTGAGCCATCATTGTGTGTTCTTTGTTTTCTGTCTTTTATGTCTTGTGTTTGTTATTGTTGTTATGTGCCATCGAGTCAACTCATAGTGACAACAGCCCTGAAACCTGCTGTACCGTGTGCCAACTTTACTGTCTCCGACACACCTACCTTCATTACTCCAGTCTCAAAAGCTCTCTTACACTAGCGACTGGCAGGTGCCCTGGTCTTCTGTATGTGCTAATGCTAAGATTCAGGCCTTCCTGTTAGCTTTTACCACTGAGGAGCTCCTAGTTATTTTCATTAGTTGTTGTTGTGTGCCACTGAAGCAGAACCAACTCATAGTGACCCTCCAGTGGGTTTTCCAGGGTGGAAATTACACAGGATCAGACTGTCCATCTTTCTCCCAAGGAGCAGCTGGTGAATTCATACCTTCAGGTTGACAGCCCACCTCTTTACCACTAAGCTACCAGAGATCAACTTAAATTTTTTTGAGAAAAATTTAAAATTTTCCCCCACCCTGTGAGCCGGATTTCCCAAGGAATCCATCCTGTATGTATGTTAGGCATACATGAAAGAATTTTTCTAGAGCAAAAGTTAGGAAAACTTTTCTCTAAAGTGCAGATAATAAATTTATAACTTTTGGATTAATTTCGTTTCAGTTGCAACTATTCAGCACTGAACTATTCTAGTGCAAAGCATAGTAGAAAATATACATGTAAATGAACATAACTTTATTCCAAGAAAACTTTATTACTTTGATTATAAACACGATAGTAGGCAAATTTGACTCATAGGCTAGAGTTTACTGAACCCTGCTCTAAATAGTATATGCCCAGAAAGAAAAAAACCTGGGGAAATTCTTTCTTTCTTTTTGCTACTCTATGTACTCAATATATGTCTGTTGTCTTTATTTCCCTGCATATTACTTCCTGTTTTGCTGTTTTCCACTGTAGGTGGACATATAAATCACAGCTGAAGGACAGAGTTAACTCCCAGTGTGTCAGAAAGGAGATGTGAGGGGAGCTCTGGTGGCCTAGTGGCAAGAAGCTGCACTGCAATCCCAGAGGAACACGGTTCGAATCCACCAGACGCTCTGCCGGAGAAGGAGGCGCAATATCCTCCTGTACCAGTCAGATCTGATTTGACGGTACACGCACACAAAATAAAAAAAAAATAAAAATTAAAAAAAAAAAAAGAAAGGAGATGTGCCAGAGGATGGGCATTAAGACATGTCACACCAAGAGGTTTAACTACAGGACTAGATCTCGTCTGTCCTCTATTTACAATAATTCCTCTATCCTGGTCTGTCATGTAGATTGATCTATGGTCCTACTCCCTCTGGATGCAGCACTTCCTTTTGAATAAGTCATTCTTTCCATCTTAAGACACTCTGGTAATGTTAGGTTACTCTGGTATCCTCCAAGATGATATATTAAAGGCCTACGTGTCCTTGTGTCTGTGAATGTGACATTATTTATTAACAAGGTTTTTTGTAGATGTTATCAACTTAGGATGTTGTCGTTGATTGTTGTAGAGGTCAACTCATAGCAACTCTGTAAACAAAAGATCTAATGCCTTTCCGTAGCTATCGTTGTTTCTCCAAGTTCATGGAATTTCCAGAGGCATGTGGTTTAGGAAGTGGAAGCCACTCCTGCTTCTAAACCTGTTTTACAACTGGGAGCTCCACCACACACTGTCCACATTGGGAAACCATTATGGTATTTGATATCCCCATGACGCAAGATTCAGCATCACAGCAAACCCAAGTTACTTCATACAGCACATTGACAAAGAGTGATGTGCAAGTGGAAGAGTGCTCCTCCAGATATAACAACTTAAGATGAGGTTATGCTAAATTAGGGTGATCCTCTTGTGGCCTAGTGGTAAGACTGCTGCAATCCTGAAGGCACACAGTTTGAAACAACAAGCTGTTCCTCAAAGGAAGGAAGGGAAATCTCCCCAAAAGATTAACTGCCTCTGAAAACCCACTGGAGGGTCAGCTACGGGTTGGTTCTGACTTGACAGCACACAACAACAATAACAAAAACAGTGGCTTTACAAGAGAAAGGGAAGGTATACAGACACAGAGAGACAGAGAAGGTCATGTGAAAAGATATTGGCAGGGGCTGGAGTTATACTATCTGTCACAAACCAAGCGACATGTGGGAACACCAGGACCCAGAAAAGACAAAGAAAGATTCTTCCCTCCGTCTCTTGGAGAAAAGAGGACCCCTACTAACAGCCTGATTTTAAATGTATTCTTTAAAATTGTAAGACAATAAAATTCTGGTGTTTTTTTTTTAAAGCCACCATCCTTATAGTAATTTGTTAAGATAGCCCTAAGAAATTAAGAAGAACTCTACCTCAGATCTATCATTCATTGGCTGCATGACCTTGAGCAAATTACTGACCATCCCCAAGTCTTGTTTCTTGATCTACACACTTGTAGTGACACTTACTCTGTCTCCAGGGCTGGTAGACAATTAAGTAAGAGGATGTTGTGAATGCTCTGTAAAATGCTAATTAAATGCAAGATACCTCCATAATCTTATTTTATCTTCATAATAATTCCAGGCAGCAGATGAGGTGACATTGGCATAATTGTTTTTACTATCTAATCTGACTCAAGATTCCACCTCAAAGAAGGGAAAGAAATACCTGTAGAATTTTCTTCCTTATGCGTCTTATCTCAGCATTCAGTTGCGTGATAGTAGAATTTGCCCCTCCTTGGGTGATTTGAACTCCTTGCAATGTCCTTAACAATTCATCAAGATTGAACAGAGCACTTGTTGTATTCCTAAAGTAAGATATTAATGTAGTAGATTAGATAAATAGAAAAACATTCATTTCCTTCACCTTGAGAGTTCATTTGACTCCAGGATGAACCAAAAGCTTGACTGAATTATTTATAAAGTAAATGAAAATTACTCATAAGCAAGACAAAGTGCTGAAGTATTCATTTTGAGGAACAGGTCTGTTTAAAGGCCAATAAATACATACACATATTTATCACACCTTGTAGATACAGACGGGGGTAGTTATGGAAATTAGGAACACAGGTCTTGAATCTTCCTTTCATAAACAGAGTTTAGGGGGTTATAACTGTCAAATATTGAACATAAAAGCTACCTTCAGCCCAGCTCAAGTCCCTTAATTTCTTGAAATTGGAACAACGCTCTCTGAATCCTTATTAGACGGGGGTGGAAGAGTCAAGAGGCAGAGAGAGCCAACGGCCCTGTGCTTTCAGGATGTGTTTATTCAGGTTTATTTAAGCTTCACTGACATTCCAGCCGCTCAGGGGCCCAGTCAGAGGTTAAAATCACAAGCCTTCCAAGTGATACTGTCTATTTGACAGAAACAAGTTCACCAGATGCTTAGATTTGTAGCCTCAAAACCCCCTTTAAAAGGAAGGTAACTGAGAGAAGGAAAAGTCAGACCTCTACAAAGGTAGAGCTTGAAATAATTTTTTTTTTTTTTGTCTGGAATAAAATTAGTTCAACTGCAAAACCTCACTTTCCACTTCAACTATCCTCCCTTCCCAGTTGTTGGTGTTTGTCGTTGTTAATGTGCCGTCAAGTTGGATTTGACCCATAGCTAACCCTCGGAAAGAGATTGTCCATACTTCTCCTTTGTGAAGTAGCTGGTGGATTTGAACCATGTGTCTTTAGGATTGTAGGGTTTCCTTTCTAACAACTTCCTCTTCAGGTACAATGGCAGTTCTTGAATGCAGCCCCGTCATCATGCCTCTTCTTCTTATAATTTTTTGGTATCATTTCTGGAGTATGAATGCTCATTAGCTAGTCTCCACTAATATTATTCCCATCCCATCCTAATGCTGTAATAATTTTTTGGTGTCGTTTTCAAAGTACTGGTGGTGGTTGTTTTTATGTGCTGTTGAGTCGCTTGCAACTCATAGCAACCCTATATACAACAGCTCTGAAGCCCTCCCTGTCCTGAGCCGTCTCACTGATTCTGACACATCTACTCCCATTGCCCCAGTTACTGTATCAATCCATTTCATTGGAGGTCTTCCTCTCCTGCTTTGTCCCTCCACCTTTCTAAGCATGATGTCCTTCTTCAAGGATTGATCCCTCCTGGTCACATGCCCTAAATATGTTAGACAGAGTTTCAAAATCCCAGCCTACAAGGAGAAACTAAGTTTCACCATCTCCAAGGCAGACCTATTTGCTTTCTTGGCAGTCCATAGTATGCTCAAGACTCTTCTTCAGCACCACAACTCAAAGGTATCAATTCTTCTTTTATCATCCTTACTCATTGTCCAGCTCTCTGATGCATAGCAAGTAATTGCAAAGACCATGGCCTAGATCAGATACACCTTAGTCTCTACACTGACATTGTTGCTTCTCAATCTCTGGAGAGGTCCCTGACAGCACATTTTCCCAATGCAATTCATCTTTTGATTTCCTGACTGCTGGTGCCAAGAGTGTTGATTGTGGAGCTGAGCGAGCAAGCTATAATTGTTAACAATATCAACCTCTTCTCCATCTATCATGGTGATGCCATTGTTGTTGTTGTTGTTATGTGCCATCGAGTCGTTTCCGACTCATTAGGCCCAGGAAATACAGAAAGTTTCAAAACCAAACAAACAAAAGGAAAAGTAGAAGGTAAAAACTGCATTGCTATTTTCGTTGAGCTATTTCCATGTAAGTGGTTTATGGTGTATACTTGGATGAAGAGATAACAAGCCGTGGGAAAGATATTTAGAATGTAAGCAAGATCTCATCAACCAGGGTCTCCAGCACCTCCCCAGACAGCCTGCAATGACACCAAGCTCCCAGAGGGTAATTTCCTTTGGACATTTTAGCTCCTGAGGCACATGTTTCCCAGACCACATTTAAGCAGATACTCTTTTCAAGAAGGGTGAGAATATTAGTATTGTACTTACTCAGCTACTTGCGCCTTCATCAGCAGCTTCTGGATCTCATCTGCTCTCGTAGTCAGAAGGCTTTCATCTGTCCTGTTGTCCTCAGAGAGATGCACATATTCTTTTATTCTGTCAAGTTCTTGAGTTAGGTTGTGTGAAGTTATTTGCAAGTGGATGCCAAGCACATGTTTTGCAACCTTCTCTATGTCCTCTGGAGGCACGTTTTCCTCTTAAATAAGAAGGTGGGCTTTAGAAAAGCATGTCGACTTTATCAGACACTGGATCTTAGCAATTAAATCACAACAAGCTCTCAGTAAGACAGATGAAGTGATTGGAGAGATTGTTATGGATGACCCAACTACTAATCAAATAATGTGTAAAGTGTTAAATTCCTTAATCTGGAAAATGACTATGGTAGAACAAGTCTCTGAACTTTACTGCCAGATTGTATAGAACACAAGTGACATTATTTGCAGAGTGCATTTTTCAGGTCCATTTCCAGCTATAACATTTGATTTTGATTTTTAATGATTATCAAGATTTTTTTTTTACAATTTCCCCAAATAAGGCCCAATGAATAGTGGATCAAATGGTTCCTTATAGTTTGGCATAGAAGGTAAAGGTGTTTGGAAAACAGTTAATAAAAATCATAATTATTTATTAATGGCTTTCTAGATCTCCCCTTCCTATGATGTTGTTATGAGCCATTGAGTTAGAATGAACCCATAGCTGACCTTCCAGCTGGTTTTCCGAGTTGGCAGTACAACTCCTTACCACTAATCTACCAGAGTGTTTATATTCAAACTAAAGCTCAGAAGATCTTGATCTCCTATCATTCCCTGTCAACAGAAAAATAAAATGGATATCTGATGCTAGAGAAAATGATAGAGTCATTTTCATTCTTAACAAATGAAAGACTTTAAATGCCAAATTAGTTCAGATTTTAAGCTAAATCCTATTACGTATTAGTAAGTGAATTGCACTCAAAGATTCATATTTTTTTGGAACAGTTTCAACTTGAGGATTATTCTTATTATGAAATTTTAAGCCAAGGTATACATCATGTTTCTGATTTAGGTATGTCATTTGCCATTAACATGATTTAAAATGGACCACAATGTCTGAATAAGAAGAAAAAGAAACCAAGAAACAAAAGCCAATCCTATTGTTAAAACAATTACCTGACAGAAAGTTTTCCATTTTGTTGATTAAAAGATTTATTTTATCTTTCTCAGATTCACTTTGGTTTTTTATGGTCTCCATTTTCTCACTTAGTTCTAAAACATTGACAGTAGAGACTTCTGTCAGTTTACTTATATTTTTGATCTGAAATAAGAAACAATAACAGTGAAGAAAATACACAGTAATTAGTCTGATTCACTAATGTTAAAATTATTTAGTTGGGCCCATCAACAAATGAATAGATAGAGAAGCTGTGGTATATTTACATAATGGAATACTATGCAGCAATGAAAAACAAGGGACTCATGAAATATGCAAAATGAATGACTATGGAGGACATTTTGATGAGTGAAATATCTCAGGCACAACAGGACAAATATTGCATAGGGCCACTGTTATAAAACAGGACTGACATCAGGGTTGGGGGGAAAAGAAAAGGAAGGGAGAAAGGATGTATATTCCATTGAAACAGGAGAGGGAGAGAACTATTTAAAGGGGACATATGAATGGGTATTCTTTTCATTACAGAATTCCAGAGTGAATGCTGCATATTGGAGTGGACTTGGGGGGCAGGATTGCATAAAAATGAAAGAGCTTTTCTTTTTCTTTTCAAGGAGAAGAGTGAATTTGGGGGGAGAGTGTGGGTAGGGAGAAAAGTGCAACACTTAATGACTGGAAACCCTAAGTCTCTGTAAACTTTCATTAAAATTAATTTTAAAATATCTAAAAAAGCAAAAAAAAATATTTAGTTGGACCAAATAATATTCTTAATGAAAACTAAATATACAGATAATGAAACTATAGATTCATTTAAAAGTACCCTTTTGAAAATGGTTATCATCTGTTTTCATAAAGATGCAAATTTATGCTTTAGAACATTGCTAGCAAGAATTAATATTTGAAAACAGTATTGGTCTAGCTAATGACTTTCCCTGCTACAAATCTGAAACACAAATTCTGCTGTTATTAAGTTTAGCATTCTGTATGTAATCCCAGCGATTTTCACAGAAATTACTCAGGACCACTTATCTACAATGAATGTCATGTTTAAGAGGTGAAAGCAGTTTTTTTTCATATAAGTTAAAATAGTTATTCTCCTAAACATTCCTCAAATGTAAGTAATGTGTTTTCTTTGAAAGCTAGCAGGAAAGCATTCCATCTCTTAATAAATGAATTTCCACTAAGTGTGGCCTACAAAAATAAATTCCAAACACTTTATATACTTGGTGGGGGAATGATGGGGCTAAAAGGCTTACAACTTACAAGTGCAAATTCTTACTTGTGTGATTTGAGAGAGGTCATGGACTTTTCTTGGAACTCCAGTGAAACAGAGAGAGAAGAAAAAAAAAAAAAGAAAAAACCCACCAAAAAACCCTCCAAACTCACACAACAAACTCCTTAAGCCAAGGATAGGACAATATCACCAACAAGCCAAACTTAATTGAATAAATTAATTGTGACAGAAGTAGGGCTAATTAGGATCAAAAATAATTTGGAAAAAAATTTTTCTTTCTCTACAGCAGAAGCTTAGTTATTTTGAACCATACAGGGTTTAATTATAATCATTAGCAAATGATAGAAATAAAAAGAATTATTTCCATTATTCAAAATATATATCTTAAGTCTGGATTTTTGGTGTTTTGGGTTTTTTTAACTTGTTCTTTAATTCAATAGAACTTATAAGGCATTTTATTTTTGCAATCATTGAGGATATAGATATACATAATACAACATGCATACCCCCAGATGAGAAATTATGTACAGTTCTGTGACAGTGATGACATTCTTCAAATTGTGCAACCTTCTCACCCTCCTTTGCTAGAACATTCTTAACTTTAAAGCAGACAGCATTGAAAAGATGGAGAGCAGTAAGATGAGAATTCCAGAAATAAAGACCCAGAGTGCAAAGTATCGAGTGAAGTGTTGGAAATCTCAGGACAGATTACCTGATGCCACATTCTACAAACAAACAAACAAACAAGCAGAGATGGCTAAATGACTCCACTTTTAAAGCATCCGTGTGCAGTCCACACCGCACCTGCGCCCACCTCACAAAGGGCTACTTAGAATTTGTTCATAATCTTTTCTTGTACTCTTCCTCTTCTAACAAAGAGAAAAACACTTTATCAATATGACAGCTTCCCTTCTGTCATTTTCCAGGTCTCCATATACATGGTGTTTCAAGTAGCTTCTGTTAATACTGACTTTATGAATTATTTTAAAATGGGTTTCTCAATACAGTGACAATAAGGGCTCATTTAAATACGGTGTGGAATTCCTATTTTTTTAAAAATAGGAAATATCATAGTTTAAATTATTATATAACTTGGGAGAGACTGGAGGACATTATCCTGAGTGAACATAAGGACAAATCCTGCATAAGACCATTATTGTAAAAATAGAGGGCTAACTAGGAAAGCAGGTATGAGGATCCAAGGGGAGAAGGGGTGAGAGCAGAGGGCTAGAGATGGGAGGGGGGGGAGGATATCACAGGGTTGCACAATTTGATGGGTGGAGGAATGAGTGGGCAAAGGAAATGGGAAAGACCCGGGGATGTGGGAAAACAGTATAATGGTGGGCATAGATCAATGGTGATTAATTTTATAAAACATAATGAATGGGAATGATTGTATGAAACACAATATGAATGAAGGTTAATGTGAAACACAATGAATATGAAATTTGTAAGCAAACCAATATAATTTTTTTTTTAAAGGTCACTTTAGTCCCGGGGACGTAAGACCAAGATTGGCATTTCTGGTGGCCCATCCCACATGGAGTTGCATGGTTAATCCAAGGACAACCACTTTGTGGTAGTTCAAATCTACCAAGAGTTCTGTGGGGAAAAGATGGGCAATTCCCTCCCGCACAATTTATATCCTCAGAGACCTGCTAGACGGTCAGCTATGAGCCAGTCTACATCAATGACAATGAAGGTGTCAGTGAAGTATTTTCAATATACCACCAATGTACCAATATGCAAAGAAACAAACTAATTTGTCTTGGCAGAAATGCAGTCAAAATGTTCCTTAGAAGTGAGAATGATGAGACTTCATTTCACATACTTCCGGCATGTTATCAAAAGGGCCCAGTGGCTGGAGAAAGGCTTTTATTATGTTGGATAAAATAAAGGGTCAGTAAAAAAGAGGAAGATCCTGAAGAAAATGGGTCGACACAGTGAGTGCAACAGTGAAAGCATTGTAGTCACTGTGAGGGTAGTTTAGGATCAGACAGGGTTTTGTTCCATTGTACATGGGGCCACTGTGAGTCAGAGCCATCTCAGTGGCACCTACCAACAACAGTGTCCACTTCTAGTAATGCTGGTAATCCGTGATTAAAGCACTTGGATGCTGATCTAAAGGTTGGTGGTTGGAATCCACCAGCTGCTCCATAGAAGACAGACAGGACGATCTGCTCCCGGGAAGATGTGTTGTTGTCAGGTGCTGTTCAGTTGACAATGCCCTTGAGAAGATTTACAGCCATGGAAACCATGGGGAAGTTAAGCTCTGCCTTGTAGAGTCTCTGCGAGTCAGAACCAATCACATAGGGACAGGGTTGGATTTTTGGTTTTAGGAATGTTCTCTCCTTTTGCCAATCGATTGTTTTGCTATAGAACTTGGCCTCTGACTACATGGAATAAGGATGATGGAAGGCCAGCTGGGACTGAGATCCATGAAGGCTCGTCTTGTGGAGCAGGCTGTGTGTGTATGTGTGTGTGTGTGTGTGTGTGTGTGTGTGTTTACATATCTGGGCTGAGGTTCTCATCTCTTTCCCAAGGTTGACCCTTTACCCTCTAGGATCCAAGTCCTAAATAACACTTGCAAACACACCCTTTTTGTTCTGGAGTTGATGTATGCCATTTTCAGACACAAGTGGTGAAATATTTCATTCAGCATAATGTCCTCCAGAGTCACCCATTTTGAATAATATTGCATGAGTTCCTTGTTTTTCAATGCAGTATAGTGTTCCATTGTGTGAATATACCACAGCTTCTCTATCCATTCGTTTGTTGATGGGCACTTAGGTTGTATTTTTTATAAACAAATATACATGAAATGTATTTATATTAGGAAGTATGTAAATATTCACACTTGCTTCTAAGTCTACAATTATTTCCACAATTACATTTTTACCCCTTTCCATATCCGGGATCTATCCTACTTTGCTCAGAAACTACAGGGAAGCCTTGAAAGTTTCAAGCAGGTTTGCTTCTCTGCTACTACAACCTTACTAGTAATAAAGCAAGAAAAGGCATTATTTACCTGATTCTTCAACCCTTTAACTTGGCTGTCCAAATTCTGAATCATGGTTTCTGTTTCTTGGGCTTTCTGCAGGGCATTCCTTGAGAGAGTTAGGGACCCCCCACAACTGGGGCCACCACAGTGTCTGTGCCCCTCCAGGTCCTTGCAGAGAGCACCACCGCATGGGGCCAGCACACAAGGCAGGTGCCCCGGCTTGCCACACACCTTCCAGGAGAAAATTAGGTTAAAGAGCAACAGGTTCCTAGAATTCTTCTCTAATATTTGTGAGTTTTCTGTCACAATATAGGATGCAAAAAATTACATTATATAATACACATATTGGTCTCAAAGGTAGCTTTGTGTATACTCTATAAACTCTTAGGTTTAACTATCTCACTCATTGACCTCGAGTCAGAGCCAACTCATAGCTGACCCTCCAGCAAGTTTTCAGAGGCTATAAAGAGCAAAAGAAGAGACTGCCTATATTTCTCCATGTTGCCACTGGTGGATTTGAACCACTAGAAAGATGCTAGATTTCGTTTATCAGTGCAACCACACCACCAGAGTTTTCACAATATCATATGATATACTTTATTTAATGAAAGTTTACAGAGACTTAGGATTTCCATTCATTAATTGTTGCATTTTTCTCCCTGCCCACCCCTTCCTCTCCCCCCACCCCCCAATTCACTCTTCTCCTTGAAAAGTAAAAGAAAACACTTTCATTGTGATGCAATCCCTCCCCACAAGTCCACTCATTCTACTGTGCAGCCTTTATTCTGGACTCCTGTCATGACAATAATACCAAATCATATATCCCTTTTAAACAGTTCTCTTCCTCATCTGTTTCAATGCAGATTACATCATTCATCTCCTCCTTCTCTGCCTTCCCTCAACCCTGATGTCAGTCCTGTTTTACAACAGTGACCTTATGCAATATTTGCCCTTTTGTGACAGATATTTCACTCAGCATAATGTCCTCCAGGGTCATCCATTTTATATAATATTTCATGAGTTCCTTGTTTGTCAATATTGCATCGTATTTCATTGTGTAACTATACCAGATCTTCTCTATCCATTTATTTGTTGATGGGAGTATATGCTATACTTTTAGACTAAGTTCAGCTATCTATCATGTCTAGCATTGGCATGTATTCTTACAACAGCACATATCTCTGTCAAAACTCTCACTCACTGTAGTCAAGTTGTTTTCAACTCATAGTGACCCTCCATTGGGTTTCCAAGAGAGGAGACGGACCATCTTTCCCCCAAGGAGGCTGAGGAGTTAGAACCACACTACCAGAGACTCCAACCTTTAGGTTACCAGCTCAACTAGCTACGGCTTCCTTACCTTTCTGTAAAAGGGGACTTCTATGTCATGACATGGGTTTAGTTTCAACTTGTGGGTTTTCACATCCGGGATCATTTAGGCAGAGTACTACTTTAGTCACAAAAATGTCCTCAAAAAGTTTATAGTTGGATCAAAGAACTTACCCATGAAATGTCTCCTAAGCAACTGAATACATATCTGTTGCTGTTGTATACCATAGAGTCAGAACCAATACATAGCTGACTTTCCAGTAGGTTTTCAGAGGCAGTTAATTGCACGGAAGATTGCCCATCCTTTTCCCATGAATTGTTATTGTTTTGCTGTTATGTACCATTGAGGTGCCTGTGACTCATAGTGACTCTATGCATAACAGCCCTAAACCCTGCTCTATCCTGTGTCAACCTTATTGTCTATGACACATCTATCCACATTACCGCAGTCACTGAATCAACCCATCTCATCGAGTGTCTTCCTCTCTTGCGCTGTCCCTCCATCCTCCCAAGCATGATGTCCCTCTCCAAGGACTGGTCCCTCCTTGAAACTTGCCCAAAATATGTCAGGCAAATCCTCAGAATCCTTGCCTCCAAGGAGCATCTTGATTTTACCCTCTCTAGGATGAACTTGTTTATTCTCCTAACAGTCCATGGTCTATTCAGTACTATTCTCCAGCACCACAGCTCAAAGGCATCAATTCTTCTCTCACCCTTAGTCATTGTCCAGTTTTCTGATGTATAGCAAGTAACTGCAAAGATTATGGCCTGCATCAGGTGTACCTTAGTCTCCAGAGGTACCTGACAGGAGACTTTCCCAATGCAATTTGTCTTTTGATTTCCTGGCTGCTGGTACCAAAAGTCTTGATTGTGGAGTCAAGCAAACTGAAGCTGTTAACAATCTCAATCTCTTCACCATCTATCATGATGCTGCCAATCGGTTGAGAGGTGAGATTCTTTGTTTTCTTCATATTGAGTTTCAATCCATATTGAAGGCTGACGTCCTTGACCTTCTGCAGCAAGCACTTCAGGTCCTCCTGAGTCTCAGCAAGCAGGGTTGTGTCATCTGCATAATGCAGTCAAAGATAAGGAAGTAGAAGATTTCTACCAACATTTGCAGTCAGAAATAGATTGAATGTGCAATCAAGATACATTAATAATAATAATAATGGGTAGGGAGCTCTGGTGGCCTAGTGACAAGAAACTGCACTGCAATCCCAGAAGCACACAGTTTGAATCCACCAGATGGTGAATTTCGGCTGGAGAAAGAAGGACAATTTCCTCCTATACCAGTCAGATCCGATTTGACGGTATACACACAAAAAATAAAAAATTAAATTAAAAAAGAAGTGATGTCTTTGAATAATAATGGATGACTGAGATGCAAAAGTTGGGAACAGAGAAGAAGGATCAATAGTTGGAAAACATGGACTTGGTGACAGAAATGACCTGGAGATAGAATGATAGAATTTTGTACAACTAATGATTTATTCATTGTAAAATTAATTAAAAAATAAATATAACTATAGGCTGTACACATGAATTTCACCTGATGGTATGCATAGGAATCAGATCAATTACATTTGTAGAAAGAATTGTTGGAGAAGCTTAACATCAGCTGTGAAAACTAGGCCACCGATTACTCATATGCAAGTTCAAGCTGAAGCTAAAGAAAATTAAATCAGATTAACAGGAACCAAAATTCGACCTAGAATCTATTCTACCTAAATTTCAAAACCATCTCAGGAACAGATTTGAGGCCTAGACCACTAATGAGCAAAGACCAGATGAGTTGTGGGAGGATATAAAGAATATCGTCCAGAAAGACAGCAAGAGGTCATTACAAAGACAGAAGAGTAAGAAAAGACCAAGATGGATGTCAGAAGAGACTCTGAATATTGCACTGCAGTGCTGAGAAGTCAAAGCAAAGGCAAGAAATTCAGAAATTAAGGAGCTGAACCGAAGATTTCAAAGGGTAGTGTGGGAAGACAAAGTAAAGTATTATAATGAAATGTGCAAAGAGATGGAATTAGAAAATCAAAAGGACCAAACTTGCTTAACATTTCTTAAACTGAAGGAACTGAAGAACAAATTCAAGCCTCAAGTTGCAATACTTAAGGATTCTTTGGGCAGAATATGAAATGATCCAGGAAACATTAAAAGAAGATGGAAAGCGTATACAGAGTCATTGTACCAAAAGGAATTGGTAGACACAGAAGAATTTCATGAAACTGTGTAAGCAAGAGCCTGCGGTGATGAAGGAAGAAGTTCAAGCTGCTCTGAAAGAATTGGCAAAAAACAAGGCCCCAGGAATTGTTGACATATCAATTGACATATTTCAATAACAGACTCTGCCCTCAATGTGCTTACCAAGTTGTGCCAAGAAATATGGAGGACAACCACCTGGCCAACTGATTGGAAAATGTCCATATTTGTTGCCATTCCAAAGAAAGATGACCAGGCAGAGTGTGGCAATTATTGAATAATATCATTAATATCACATGCAAGCAAGATTCTGCTGAAAATTATCCAAAAACAACTGGAACAGCACATTAACAGAGAATTTCTCATGAATACTCATATATTTCTTAATATTGTATAGACCAATGTAACTTTGTACCCCTGAATTTTTAGAAAAGAGTACAATTTTTAGTATCCCTAGCCAATTTGAGGAGTCAAGTTCTAATGGTGTAGTACATTACATGTAGACAGTTCAAATCCTCCCATGGCTCCAAGACAGAAAGATGAGACATCTCTTTCCATAAAGATTTATAGCTTTAAAGACCTGAGAGAAGGTCATTATGAGTCTGAATTAATTCAAAGGCAATGTGAGTTTAACTTTTATTTTTTTCAATTTTTATTTTAAAAAACAGAAATGACATTTTGTTTATACTGAGGGAAGAGGAGTAAATGCTCATAATGCATATTACCTTGCAACTAGTAATTAACCAAATAAAAATAAGATAATTAAAACTATAATTAAAAAACCCAAAACAAACAAGAAAACCCCCCTATAATATAATCTTTGCTCTTTGATTTTGATCATGCTGGACTCAAGAAAGGCTTTTCCTGTGGAAATTAAATGTAATCTCATGAAATGCAATTGAATAAATCTGTATATCAAGTAGAAATCATGAACACTTCATATTATTACATTATACAGTATACAGTTATTTACCTTTTCATTCAGTATTTGGATATCTGGTATCTTGATCTGCTTTAATTTTTCCAGAGAAATATTTCCTGTTGACATTACTGTATCTAAGATGTGAAGTGAGTCATTCCTGGTGTTTTCAGAGATATTTATTATGAGAATAGCTTCATTAATTTTCTTTTCAGCAGATGTTGATATCTGATGATACTTCTTAATGTCCTCTGAGGCATCTACATTGACACAAATTGAAGATAAATTTTGTGAAAGGAAATGAAATTGTAAATCAGCTATCAGGATAGTCATTTCACAACTTGATTAGTGTCCTAGTCTCAACAATCAATAAAAAAAAATTTCAACATTCACCTTCTTTATTTTGCATTTCATCAGAGTAGACTAGATACAGGGTAATGGAAGCAGGTACCAGCATGCCTTGTTTTTTTGAGCCCTGTTTTGTCATGCCTCACATATACCATTTATTACAAAGACTTGTGGCAGCTCTGTATTGAACCATCGTTTGGTGCCACTGCTTTCAACTCACAGCATGTACTCACCTCCTGTCTCTGTGTTACATTTTGTTTTGATGCTATTTTATCTGTTTTAGGTGGAAGCTTTGGTAGGTTAGTGGTAAGGTGTTGTGCTGTCAACCCAAAAGCACACGTGTCAAATCCACCAGCTGCTCCATGGGGAAAAGTGAGCAGTATCCTCCCGTGCAATTTACAGCCTCTGAAAACCCACTGGAGGGTCAGCTCTGAGTCAGTTCTGATGCAACAGTGCACAATAAATGAGGAGGGTGATCTGTGATCTTTGATGTAACCGTTTCAATTGTGTTGAGGTGTCATGAACTGCACCCAGGAGTGGACTTACTTGGTAAAGGTATGTATTTTGACTGTTCTGTTGACCAGCCACTCCTAGCCTCTCTCCGTTGACTTGGGCTTCCTAACTCCCTGAGACACAATATTGAAATTAGGCCACTTAATAACCCTACCATAGTCTCTAAACATTCAAGTGACAGGAAGAGTCAATTAATGTGTCAAACTTCATTTTCTTATTTGAAATATATGGCTACAGCAATCTCAATCTTCAGCAACCTCCAACCAGATCAATCAGCATCCAAGTAGGACAATCGACCAGCAAAGAGATTTTCTCTTTCTCTCATGCCATTGAGTCAGAATTGACTCATAGTTGACCCTTCAGCAGGTTGTCACAGATTACAAATCACATGGGAAGAGAGTGCCCATCTTTCTCCTATGGAGCAGCGGGTGGATTAAAAAATGCTGGAGAGGTGTCACCTTTGTGCTAGCAACACAGCTCCCTGCTGATTTCACCACCAATTCTCCCTGTAAACAGACTGAAACTCTCTAAAGGGTCAGATGATGGTTAGCATTTTTTATCAATAAAGTCTTTTTTAATTTGAGGTATGTCATTGTTTTTGTAGACATAATTATTTTTTTTAATTTTCATTTTATTATTTTTTGTGTGTGTACTGTCAAATCGGATCTGACTGGTACAGGAGGATATTACCCCTCCTTTCTCAGCAGAGAATGTGGTGGATTCAAACTGCATACCTCTGGGATTGCAGGGAAGCTTCTTGCCACTAGGCCACCAGAGCTCCCTAGCAGGCATAATTCTTAATAAATTATAAGGTAAACATAACTTTTATATACACTGGGAAAGCAAAACAATACAGGTGACTTGCTTTATTGTCATGACTGGAACTGAACCCATAATATTTCTTTGATGGTATTGTTGTTGAATACCATTGAGTTGGAAATGAACCACAGCTGACCACTCAGTACATTTTCGGAGGCAGTAAATCACATGGGAAGAGACTGTCCATCCTTTTCCCTCAAAACAGCGGTGATGTTTACATCTACTGACACGGATTTGAATTCTGGATTTACTAATTCACTAACTAGATGGATTACTGAGCAAATCAGTTAATAAGTCATTTCATTTTCTTATTCTTTAAATTGGTGATAACAATCTGTGAGGATAGAGATTGAAGTCTCATTGATGCAAGTGGCTATATCTTTCTATTATTAACCAAAAAGGCTAGAGGTTTGAGTCCACTCAGACATGCTGTGCAAGAAAAGCCTGGTGCTCTACTTCTAAAAAGTCAACTAACAAAATCTCATGGAGCGCAGTTCTATTGTCACACACGTGAGGTCAAGTGATTAAAAAAATCAACATGGTGAAAATTCTCCCTTCTTTATAAGCAAGATAAAAGGAACTGTCTCTCAATATAAAGTATTGATTATGAATACTTATATAAATGCAGACATGCACATAGACCAGGAGGCAGTTGCTAGAACAAGGGGCTATTGTGTGGTTTCAGGAATAGAGGATGACTCATTCACTGCATATTCAGATGACATTTTCTTACTTGCTGAAAGGTTTTTCTTTGGTTGATTATCAGAAGGAGATTGACAAGCCTTTCTTCCTAGCCTATTGTAGTCTAGAAGCTCCCTGAATCCAATTTAGCATTAAACTAACCCACAAGTTCCTTTGGGACTGCTGAGTAGAGGTTGTTTATTGGTGTATTGACTGGGAGCACCGGTAGCATAGTCAGTAGGAAGTCACACCGTTTGTCCAAAGGCCTCACCTCGCTGCAGCTGAGGGAGAAAGATGAAAAATCTCCTCCCATGGGGTTTAAGCCTCGGAAACCCAGTGGAGGGTCAGTTGTGCATCAGTTCTGACTGGACAGCCATGAGTTTGAATTTTTTCAGTTTGATTTCTCAATTATCAATTGAGCATGTGAACTGTACAACCCTAATGATTTATTTGGTACTTACTGGACATCATCAATAGAGCTTTGTTAGAATTTACTAAATTTAGGCTCCCCCTAAGGATCCTAATTTTTATCTGATTTTTCTCTTCTAGGTTCAAGATTATATGTAAAAGGAGTCCTGTGCTTACTCTCCTGATGTGGATGTCTGGTTACATGCTACCAACCAGAGGTTCTGGCCCACTCCTCCTTCTGCCTTGCTGGTAGAATGCTTCATGAGTAAGCTCTCAGACAAACACTTGGATCAGCAGGCTGAGTCCTGGCATGCCATGCGCTCAGAACTTTACTAACAAGTACTCAGAGCCATATAATGTCTGAAGAGGAATGAAGAGACTGGGTGTTCATTAGCGTCTAGGTTGAGTGCATAGCATGAGTCACGAGCCAAAACGACTTAGATGACCTCTCCCAAAAGATCAACAAAAATGATGAGTATCTAAGTATCACCAATTAAGTATTTTTAAATCTAAGGGGTTGCTCTTGTTGTTATAGTAACCCGATAAACAACAGATCGGAACCTTGTTCTGTCCTGTGTTAGCCTCACGATCTCCACCACATTGGGGTCCACTGTTACAGTCACTGTGTCAAGCCATCCTGTTGAGGGTCATTGTCTCTTTCTTTGACCCTCCATCTCTCCCAGCGTGATTTCTATTTCCAAAGAGTGGCTCCTTCTGATAACATGCCCAAACTATGAAAGACGAGGTTTCAACATCCTTCCCTTTAATGTGTGTTTATATATATATATGGTAATAACCAATGAATACCTTGTAAGCAGATCACTGTACTGTGTTTAAGATATAATTTCTTCTAGTCCCTTTTTTTCTTAATACAAGTGTCTTGTTTGACCTTACGTGTTATTTTTGTTTGGTAAAGAGTCTAAGCTGCACTTTAAAAACCTCCTCCATTGATGCCAACCAAACCTTGGCCCACTTTCATGAAAGCGCACATATTAAATAAGGCATAGCTGCTATCCACTCAAAACAAACAAACAAACAAACAAACCAAAAAAAAAAAAGCTCTTCTACCAGAGGTGGGTAAAGGAAATGGGAAAGATCTATTGTGAAAAACAATGTCTACAATTCTGTAAGTAAACCAGTATAAGACAAAAAATTAAAAAAACCAAAATAAAAGGCCCCGCAAAACCAAAACCAACAAAACTCCTCCATCATCAACAAAAACTATTATATGAAAAAGAAACATACATATGGGATAAGGGAAAATAGCCATTATTTTTGCTTAGAGATGAATTTAACGTATATGTCCTCTTTACCTTGGAATTGCATTGAGCAGGCATGAATAAGCTCAGGGCTACCATTTTTGGAAGCAGTAGATTGCCCCTTTCCAATAACAGAGATTCTCAGCTTGGAGATGAGAGCTCATTATATCACTTTTCCAAGGCAATGTTGAATTTGGCATGACTTTTTTTTTTTTATTTTGAAGAACTAAGAAATATGAGAGACTGATGGAGAAAGATGAAGTGCACTGCTTCTGTCACGATTTCCAGCTTTGGAAGCCTTATAGAAGGCTTCCTCTGCCCTTACTGAGAGTTGGAATCAACTTCATGGTAGTGCTGTGCCGTGGGGATGAAGGACTTCTGTTATGTTTCATGACTCCAATAACTCCAGTAACTAGGTTCTTGTGAAAAATGTGTTTTTTTCTTTTCAGAGTTACCTTATTTCATATTTATGTTTTCTGAAAAGAAAATGGCTGATTCCCAAGAAGGGCTAAGACCATATCCCTCTCAATCAGGCACTGTTAAGTTCCATTATATATAAGGTTTCTATGAGTCAGAGCTGACCTAGCAACAACAATAACAACATTTTAAAATTACTGAGTTATCAATTACTTGAGAGCCCTTTTGCAGGGGTTGGCACTAAAAGATCATTTTGGATTTTAGGATTTGTTTAGTATAAGACATTGTTAACTTGTCATTTTGAGCAAATGCTATCCAGGCTCTGAGATGTTCAAACAATCAAAATGTTCATCATCCCTTTCACAGGTGCGTTTGCACTTCTAAAGAGCTCAGTTTCTGTGGTGGTGAGCATGGGGTTGCTCACTAATGGCATCTACTGCAGATTTTATCGCGCCTTCTGCAGAAATAGAAGCAGTTGAGGTGCATTTTTTCCCCTCTTACCCATGATGCTTGTGTTCCGGGCACTGGAATGCAAATCAACTTCCTCCTGAGTTTCTGCAAGTAAGAGGTCTGCTTCAGTCCTCAGTCTCACTATTGTTTTGTTCAGATCCTGAAATTCATACACTGTTTGCAGCTGCTCACTTAACTGCATGATTTGTTTCCTGTGGGGGTGGGGGATGAAGATAGATGGTGGTTAGAATGATATGATATTGGATAGACAGGAGTGAAAAAGCACAAAATTATCCTCATTATTAAACCCATTGCTGTTGAGTCAATTCTGACTAATGGTGGGCCTCCGCTGATTTTAAGGAAGGAGAAGTCCCTTCTTACTCTCTCAGAGTGGCTGGTTAATTAGAGCCATCAACTTTCAGTGAGCAAACTCACACATAACAAACTGCAGGCTTTCCTCCTAACAACAACAACAATTCTTATTACCTCCAAGTTGCAACTGGTTCACAGCTGTTTCACAGTGGGTTTTCAGAGGCTGTAACTTGCACCAGAGGAGACTGTCCAACCTTTTCCTACAGAGCCCCTGGTGGATTCAAACTGCCAAAGAGGCTGTGGAATTTAATGTCACCATTTAGAATTCTGGAATTTTTCCCACCGTCTATTTATTTCTTGATAAATCACTTTCCAGAATATTCCAGAATTTACTTACTTAAGAAAGGTCGGAACACAGGGTCTAGCAGAGTAAAGTTTTTTGTTTTTTTTTAAATTCTGTCCTTTTCAACTGCATATACTCTTTCTGTGCCCTTTTGGTTGTGGTTTCAAATACCATGTTTTAGCTGTGGTTGATTTCAGTGCCAGTCTCCATCAAACTTTCAGCATAGGGCGAACCTTGTCACCAGCCTAGGAGCAAAGCAGTTCCTCATTAAGACCGGCGCTGCTTTCAGCAAGATTCCTTTCAGTGTCGCAGCTGTCAGGGGCTTACTGATAACTTCCACAAGTGACAGGGAGATCTCCTTGTTAGAGCGGGTACCCGTGGGCATGCTCTTTTAGTCTTCAGTTTTGATGCTTCACACTTCATCCTGCTCCAACTTTCTAGGCTCAGCCCCTTTCTGTCTCCAGAAATGATTGGTTCAATGGGATAATTAATATAATCCTCAAGATGCCAAAATCATGTACAAAACTTGAAAAGAACAGTTGGGAAAAACTATGATACAAATGTATAGGACTAATGTGCCTTGGGACCAGTGCAAAGCATTGACTGATGTTTATTAACATTTTCTGCTCTAGCGCTCTCTTTAGTCTCCAACTACCACAGCCTGGTTCTTTAGGCAAATTGTAATTATTGCTTTAATTGGTATGCCTTAAGTGCTTACAATATGCCACACACTGTGCTCAGTAACTTAAGAAATTCTCATAAAATTCTGTAAAAAAAGAGACTCTAGTTCTCTTTTTTGATGAAGAAACTGAAGTTTGGACAAACGAAACCATTTCTCTCCTGCTATAGAGCTATTTTAGTTAGAGGATTTGAACTTAGGTTCAAGACACCCCAGGTTTTCCACCTCCCCCATCCTCTTTGGCATTGTAATTTAATCTGCTAGTAAGTAACATACTCCTGCATCAGATCTGGAGACTACAAACACAAAGCAGATGCATGTCCTGCCCTCAGGAGGCCCACAGTGAGGCCATGGCAGAGGAGCTGTGAAGAGGACACACAAGCCTGAGTCTGGGGAGGCAGCGAAGACTTCAGGGAGAAGGTGGTGTTTGAGGAGGAATCCAGGAGGAATAGGCATTTGAATCCTGGTTGAAGAGGCTTAGTTCCCTGCTTTTCCCAGGTCTTGGATCTACTCTGGTAGATCCTTTTCTCTTATCTCGGATCTACTCTGCTCATCCCCGTCTCCTCTCTGGCCCTGCTCTGGGCTCTTGATAGTCGCCTCACCTAGAACACCCGGGGAGCTCTGGTGGCCTAGTGACAAGGAGCTGCAACTACAATCCCAGAGGCGCATGGTTCGGATCCCCCAGATGCTCTGCCTGGGAAGGAGGGACAATCTCCTCCTGTGCCAGTCAGATCTGATTTGGCGGTGCACGCACACAAAAATAAAAATAAAAAAAATTAAAAAAAGAACACCCGCTGTGGATCAGCTCTGTTTGCCTCTGAGTCCCACTCTCTGTCATTTTCCTAGATATCCATAAACACAAGCCAGTGGTCCATGGCCGACTTTTATGCTTTGATACCTATTCTGTGCCCTATACAGTTTCCTCACCCTAGCTCTTTCAAAACAGATTAGTTTCCAATGTTTATTACTTAAGGGTATAAAAAAAAATCCTACTATCTGACATCCCTTCAAAAGTGAGAAGATCTGGGAGCAAGGGGCCCAATTTCCCGTAGGACAATAGTCTTTAGCAGGATATGGTGTTATCTGTTTTCAGCTGGAATTGACTGCCTGACCTTCTGGGGTCTGTTAGTGATCTGCACGACTTAGTTTACCTTTTCTAAACAATCCAGTTGGGTTCTATCTTCTTCCTTGTGTAACTCAAATGCAGAGAACTGTGGGATATCTGGTTATTGGCTTTATTTTTACATGGTGGCCTAGTGGCAAGAAACTGCACTGCCATCCTGAAGACATGCAGTTCAAGGCCACCAACTATCCACAGAAGAACGACTGGCAATCTCCTCCTGTGTGATTAACTGCCTCTGAAAACCTGCTGGAGGGTCAGCTATGGGGTGGTTCTGAATCTATGGTGCAACACCACCACAAAGATATAAAAAACCCTATGTCTTCAACCTTTCCCAATACAGATTTCGTGTGTGTGGTGGTGGTGGTGGGGGGAGATAGGTAGTGTTTTGCTATACAAAGTTTTTGGTTGGCACAAGTAGATAAGACTTTAGATGAAAAGCTGGCAGTTAAAATGTTTGCAGTGGTGCTTTCGAAGAAAGAGCTGATGATCTTTTCCCAAAAGGTTACAATCACTGAAAACCATCTAAAATACAATTCTACTCCAAAACACACAGGCCATTACAATTTGCAATCAACCTGATGCAAGCATTAAAAAAAGATATATATAT